ATCAGTTTGGGTTTTCCCAGGTTTTGATTTTATGGACTCAAACCCAAATTGTACAAAAAAATTTCCTAGCTCTTTTCTCCTAGTTAGATTTTGTTTTTCTAATTGTTTTCTAAGCTTAAGGTCAGTACAGATTTCTAAACCTATAGCACAAACTTCAACAGATAATTCTCCAAGAGTATAGAGGTCGTAATTTAATTCTCCATTATTTTTAGCTTTCAACTTATTACCTTTTCAGCAAATAATCTTGGAAGGCTAGCAATAAATTGACCCTTCCAATACCCAGCTCTACAGTCTTCAACTGTCAGAAGCCTAGAAGTAAATGTATCCTTATACCATTTATAATGGGAAAGGGTAGGACATCTAAGATTTTGCAAAAGGTCTAACTGTCTTTGAGTCAGAATGCTGGTATTTCCTATAAAATGTAGGGCAATGGTATAAATAAGAGTATTAACACATTCATCTTCAGTAACTTGAACAGTTTGTATTTGATCTGGCTGTATTGCTTTGGTTGTGGTATACTGCTTTTTAGCAGTCGGGATATAATTTTTTTCCATCTCAATGAGATACTTATCCCACCAACCTCTTAATTGTCATGTAAAACCTACAATGATTGCTTTAGCTACATCTGGATCTTGATTTCCATTATTTATGCTAGCAGTAGCATACATCATGTGCCTTAAGCAGGGTAAGTATTTGATTTCACTTAGGGTATCAAGATTTCATTCTACTACTATTGCTTTTCCATCATACATTGCTGTTCCCATTAAAATATCTTCTTCATGTTGAATGTCAACAGCAGACGGCCTCAGGTAATACATTTTTGTAGGGGCCGTTGGTCTGGTTTTAACTCTGTAACCAATTTTATTGATCTCAATAGGCTTATCCATAGCCTGCTTAAAAACTTGTTCTAAACTTATCGGTAATATCTTCAATCATGTTATTAGAAGTCTCAGGAATCTTTTCAAGGGTTTTTTCCTTTTCATCTATTTTTAGATTTCCTAAACATAACTTCATCCAGAAATTCTGAGCTCACAGGTTTGCAATTTGAATCTATTCTTAGGTAATTCAAGTGAGGGTTTAAATACTAAAAGGGCAGTAGTCTTGACTTGGGTTGGTGTAGGTTTAGATAATGAGTGTTTGTCTTAAAAATATCTTTTTTAGATACTAAATTTTCTATCCTATCGGCTTGTTCTCCTAAGGATTTAAGATAGAGATTAGTGTAATTATTTTGTTCTGTAATGGATTTAAAACCTTCCATATTAGGGTTATCAGAAGTTCCCTTATAAGGGCCTGCAATGGACCCTTTGACGTCTAGAGTAATGTCTTCTGGAGGATGTCTTGATTTTATCTCTCCTTTTGATGTTTTGTAAGTGTTATACAAAGTATTCAAAGTGTAAACATCAGGAGCTTTTTTAACGTATCTTTTGTTTATGTATTCAAATGGAAAGGTTAACTTATGTTTTTTGACAAACCTTTCTCCAAACCACCTGAAGAAGAACATGTTTCCTTGAACTTCTTCCATGGCTTCAATATATTTTTCTTTAATGTGTTATCTTGATCTCTCAGTTCCCTTATTTAGGAACCATTCTCTAATTTCTTTATTATGATTTGAGTTAAAATTGGCTTCTATTTTTTCATAATTTATCTGAAATGTTTTAACCTCAATATATTTAACGTTTTGGGCATCTTGGTGATTCAGGTCTGGAGTTAGCTGTTTTAGGGGTTTCGACATTATAGACAGGTTGTTCTTCTCCAACTGTCCTTAACTCTTGTAGCCTTAGCATTTATATGCTGATTCTCGAATTCCGTATGAGGAATAGATGAGGTTGAACTCCTAGCCAGAATTCTAGGACTTTGGGAAGCAATATGAATTCTAGCACTCCTTTGAGGATTAAATTATATTTGGACTTCCCCACTACGGAACTCTATTATGGAATTAACATTAGAATTCTGAATGGGTCTCGAAGGGGTTTCATTTTGTAGATGCCATTGACCTGGTAAATTTACCTGATTTCATGTTATAGTCTTGGGAACTAACAAATTTGATTTTTCTACGTTAGTTTGGAAATATAAGGTTTGTCCCCTTTCATCCATCTTCTTCACATTTGGGCATATAGTATTCATAACCTTATAGCAAATTCTGTATATGACTGCAACATTATGGGAACCAGTTTCCATATCAAACCCATCAGTTTTGAGGTTTAAAATTAAAACCTTAAGAAGATTAGGGTCGGTTAGCAATTAAAGTATATAGGGCCTTCACTGAGGTTGGATTCAACGATCTCTAATAAGGAATCAGAAAAATTTCTCTGTCTTATGTCCCTTAAACAAAGAAGGACTGAATTATTGAGTTCAGTACGAATTAGAGGTTTACCTACAATTTGGACCTACCCTATGTGTAAATAATTATATCCCTTTTTTATATGTTTTTATATTCTGTCTTTAGATAGAAGAGATATTGCATTTTGGGATTCAAGAATAGATACAGTTTTTTTAACAGTTTTTATAGCATAATCACTTTTAAATTGGAAAATACCTTTTCTATAAGTTTCGCAAGTAGGAACTTTGGGAATATTCCAGTTTTGTATGCTTTTTTCTATATTAGATATAATTATTTCTTCAGTATTTTTTATACTGCTTATATGATAGCCTGAAGAGCTAGCATTATTGCTTAAATTTTGAGATCTATTCCTAAATAAGCTCGCCATTGAGTCAATAGCGCAGTTGCCTATTTTCTGTTTCACAGTCAATGGGTAAATAGCACTGGCGACTT